CCTTGCTAGGAAATATTTCAAATTGTTCTACATAGCATGTTTCCCACTTCTCTCACATAAGTTAAAAAAAAAAAAAAAAGGGAGGAACATATTCCTCCCTTTTTTTTTTTTAACTTATGTGAAGCACATATGTGCTCCACCAAGTTGCGAGAAAAAGCAAAACAAGCCCTTACTGCAACATTGAATATAATTTTCTTACCTGGCCTCTGTCACTCATGTTCTTCCCAGGGGATGGGAAGCTGAAAGCAGCAGGAGGACAACCCTATTGGCTGCATATCTTCCTCTTCCTCTTCCTCTTCCTGCTTTTCTGTGGTTCCTGTCTCCCCATCTCTGGCAAGCCTGTCTTGTGAGGCATGAAGACTATTTCTCTCTGCTTCTACTGAGTGAAGTGGGAAAAAAAGGCTCAGATTTTGTTATTATGACTTTACTGAGTGGAAACTGCCCCACTGTTACTTGGGTCTTGGAAATAAAGATTCTTTTTCCTCTCACTGGAAATCCCTAGATTCCTGGTTGAAATGCAGGATGTAGGTGGACTGGTAGGACTTAGGACTTACCTCAAATATTTATAAGGGCAAAAGAGAACAGAAAGGAGAATTGGAAGATGCAGCACAAATACCTCGTTACAGAAGGGCTGCCATCCTCCCCTCCCTGAGGCAAGACAGGCCCAGCAAGAACAGGAAACACCTGCCCTGATGATGGCATCATGTGGCTTCCAGGTCTCTGAGGGTTTTTTCTTTTAGAGTGGGAGAACTCTCCTTTTTTCCTCTCTTCTCTTTTTATTTATCTCACCAAGTTGTCCTCCTGTGAAAGAAGGCTTCTTTTGCTCTATTCCTCTTACAATGCCTGGCTTTTTAGGTTATTTTCAGTCTCTGTTAACACAGTTGGCTTCTGATTAGACTTTCTATTGTAGGTGTTGCTGATAAAATTTCAGCAGGCACACAGACTCAGCTCTACATATACATTAAACCAGATGCAGCTCACTGGCTGAGTTTCATGGTTGTTGTTTTGTTTTTTTCTCCCTGCTGTATAAATGTGAGATCATAAGTAGTAGAGAAAGAAGATGGAGGTATTTCTTGGAAGACAGAGGAGAAAAAAGCATATACTCTCAATTGCACTGCTTACAAGGACTGTGTTTTATTATTATTTATTAATGGGGGGAAAAAAAAGGAAAAAAAAAAAAAAGCTTTGCACACACACACCACACTCTACAATTTTATGAGATCCACATCTGGAATCCAGAGCATCTCAGGAATCAATCTATCAGACCCTAGTCAATTGTAATAATGCACCTGGGGTGAAATTCTGGCTCCATTAAAGTCAGCTGGAACTTTGCCATTGCAATGCAAAAAGTGATGGCTGATGTAGGCTACTCCACATTAACTCTCGGGCAGAGTGAGATGGCTTATAAGTTGCCAGTATTTCCAGATTTGGCATAACATTCAAGAAAAAAACACTGTCAATCCCATGTCTCTGTACAGAGCAAAAAAGTAAGAGTTATAATGAGGTCATAGTGCCTGTACATTTGGCTGTTACCAAAATAAATTGTCTAAGTGTTCATGAACTTTTTTTCCATAGGTAGAGACTTTTAGAATGAAACAGAAATATTGCTTGCTGTGCCTCAAGGTCAACATATATATTTTTGTGTGTGTGTATGTAAGCCATCCAAAATCTTGCTTATAAATATCTATTTTGTTGTGCTTTTTCACATCCTTCCACTGGAAATGCATTTCCAACTGTAAATAGTATATTCCCATTACCTACCCATCAGTCAAATCAGCTCATTTCTGAAATTCAATTAAAAGGGTCTCATTGCCATAAATTGAAAACGATATTTTATTGTTACTTTGTAATTTGGAAGAATGAAAATTAAAACAGTAGCTCTGATGGAAAGAAATGGCTACTAAATCATAATGATATTTTGCAGTTTATCTGCTCATTGCTATTTTATTTCAGCTATTTCAGAGTGAAAGGACGATGAAGTTACTTGCACACTCTATACCAGTCTTATTTATTTTTTTGGCTACTCCAAGCACTTGTCTAAATCTTTTTTATGATTGTTTATCTAAGTTTCTCCCAAATGTTTCATCAATTGCTATCCCTGTTCTTTTATTCCATATGTTAACTGCTTCCTGTGTATAAAAGACAGTTTGCTTAAATTCCTTTGGCTCTTGACCTCTTCTTACCCTTGGCAGAGACACTCTGTAATTTTGGGGATTCTTTTTTTTTATGCTGAGCGTCAATTGAATTGTCTTAGTGTCAGATAAAATGAGCAGAAAGGCCACATATGTGTCATTTAACTTGTGAACTTGGCTACAGATACAATAGATTTCATGAAATGGGTGCAAGGTGGGGGACAACCAGAGGTTGAAATTGAGGTTCCCATGCTCTGACTACCGATGAAAATTGAAAAGAATAAGCATGTTAAGAGGCATTTATAATCAGCAACAGTGACTAGTAGTAAATAATGAAGATACTGCTGCTCTGAGGAATATGCAATGCCAAACCTGTGAACCCTCTTTAAGATTTAGCAGGAGTTTTACTGGCTGGGGGGATAAAATGATCTATTTCAGTTCTGTGTTACTTCAGTATAGATATTGCGAGGGGCCAAACTCGTTCTGTCTCACTCCCCTCTTCCAACCTCATTCAAAAACCAAATGCTGAACGTTTTACTTCAGCTGGACTGTTATGCATTCTGCCTAGAAACATCTGTGGAAAAAGAAGAAGAAAAGAACCAATGGAAACATGGAGCAGAAATGAATTTAGCAGCTGGCAAAGTGAAAAATCACACATACCAAGGAGATTTTGCATAAGGAGAAGAGATGAGAGCAGGGCATATTTATTAAAAAAAAAAAAGAAAAGGAAAAAAAATGAAACCAAGTATCTGCAATATACAATATATAGAAGAAAGCCCTCAGCCTATTCAGTAGAAGATGTTAACCAGAATACTGGAAGTATTTAAGTTTTCATTTGAGTTGAATACAAATATTTGCAAGAATACACATATGTATAAGATCTCTAGGCAATGAAAACCTAGTTTTATATTTACCCTGGAAGAAAGATTTATGCAGCCATTTCTCATAGGTAAAACTGGTGAAGAACCACGTAAAAACCACCATAAAGTTTGGTCATGTCTAGATACCACCCCTCTTGAAAGCAAGATCCTTGGCAGTCAGGCAGAGTGTGAGACACCTCTCTGTTTGGCTCCATACACCAGGACAATTCCTGTTGACTTTAATGGAAGCTGTGCCTAAATTAGGGCTATTGCCCAGCCCCTAATGAGGAGACTGCTGTAACTTGGGTCACTTGCAGTGCTTGGCAGCACAGCTGAAGTCTGTGCCTCCTTTCCTTTCCTTTCCTTACCCCTCAAGAGTCCCCACAGCAGGTGAGGCTTTTCCCTTCCTTTGCTCTGAAGATTAGGCACAACAAAGGTTGTTTTCTGTAAAGCGAGGTACACAGTGCAGTTTTGCCTCCTCTCTAGTTGATGTTCTAATGTGTAACTGTAGGGTTTAATTTTACTTTACATTAATCAAAGAACAATAAAGGCCATAAAAACCCCACTAAGAAGCATTTCAAGTTAAGATCCAAAGCTAAATGCCATGGGATTTTGCCTATTGTCTTGTTTAGTCCCTCTGTAAAAAGAGCTAGATAGCAGGAGAAAGAAAGAAAAATTGAGCCCATGTTTTTTGCATAGAGATGGAGAAAACACATAATAAATTAGGGGGAGAGAGGAGTGAAATAAAGGCCAGAGGTAAACGACGTTTAATTGTGTGAGCTGCTCTTCCTCTTGTGGTTCCTGCCAGCTGCTGCTGCTATTGCTACCTTCCTGTTTTAAGATGAAAGCAATGATGGTAGACACGTGCAGACACACAAAAGAACCTATTTGGACTGGTGTGTCAGCTCATCTTTATCAAATGTTGCACAGGTATATTTTGTTGCCATGCTTCATTACCCCAGAATGGCGTGCCTGAAATGTTTGTCTCTTCTATAAACCCAATAGCTTTCCCAGCGAGTCACATTTGACAGAGCAATAGACAGGTATTCGCTTGCTGGCATCCGTTTGTAAAGCCCGGGCAATTATGTATGTATTATCCATATATATATATATATACACACACATATATACACGTGGGGGAACACACACACACATACATATATATATATGTATGTCTATAAACACAAAGAACATGAGAGGGTGATGTACGGCTGTATTATTTGTATATAGAGGGAGACAAGTCACCTATATATGCAATATAAAAGGGATGCTCAGTACAAATATGTGCATGCTCATACTGAAATTAACACATACACTTGGACAAAATTAATAAGAGAAAACAGGAGTTTTAATACAAATTTCCTGTTCAAATGCAGACAGAACTTTAGTGAAGAATACAATATTGGAAAAATAGGTGGATGGTCTCTTATGAATATTTTATTTCTGAGGTTTTCCACTGAGGGAAAAAAAGCCCAACGAAATATGAGACACGTCACTTTAGCTTGGAACTAGAGTTAACAGTGACTCTGTTCAAGAGAAGCAGGAAATGAGACTAAAAGCAAGAATAAAATGAAGCTGGGTTTTTTGTCATTGTTGATGGTATATTGGGTGGGGTTTTTTTTCTTTTTTATTTTTGGTTTTGCTTTTTTCCCTGGAGAAAAGATGTTATTTGGAGGAAAAAGCTCTGAGGGGAGAAGTCTGAGGGGAGAAGTCAGTCCCAGTATGTGCCTCGGGGCCCTTCTGCACAAACAGCCAGCCATGGAGGGTTTGCAGGCACATCTGCAGAGTGAGAGGAAGATTCAATAACAGCGTGGCTACCTTCATTAGTTTTAAACTAATTCACATGCTAGTGCTTGGTGTATTGCTTAAATGTGTCTGATTGTTCACCTGTAACATGATAATATTTTCTCCCTCATAGGAGGGTGAAGCTGAGGGCTCATGAGCTTCTCCCTGACAGTTCCTGCTCCAGCTGTGCTGAAGATGTGCACACACCAAAATGCACGTGTGCCTGTAGCCGAGGAGGGAGGACTAACTACACTGCCAAATACTCTCTTAGCTGGAAAGAAAGCTGCAAGCCTGGGAATTGTAAGGTGGGTGCTGCTTGCCCTGCCAGCCAGAACAGAGGGCTAATGCATGGGGGTGGATGGAGCCTGGGTGTAACCACACAGAATTTGCCGGATAGCTCCATCCCAGGGTGCTAACAGCATTGAAATTACTTGATGGACACTATTTTCATTATTATTACTTTAATGCACCATTGTGTACATGGTCCTGTACCATAAAAGAGTAACGCAAGCAAAACACAGGCCTTATATATGCAATTACATCCACTGCAGCTCAAAAAGAAGACAATTAGCGGAGTGCATTCCCCAGAAAGCCATCCGTGGAGGTCAGAGTTCGGGAGTAACATTTCCTTTCTCATCTCTCCCCCCAGAAAACTAGATATTACCAGCATCAAATCATCCACAGAGCACTCTAACTAAAAGGAGAACATTATGGGTAAGTAGCAGGCACTGTAATTGCCTAAACAAACAGAGTTTAGGCAGAAAAACTGTAATTCTAGTGTTTCTAGCCAGTGGTTGTGTTTGGGGGTTTTTTTGGTTGGTTTGCTGGTTGTGTGGTTTTTTGTCTGTTTTGTTGCATGCTTTTTTGTCTGTTTTGTTGCATATTTTTTTGTAAGTTTTGGGTTGGGTTTTTGTGGTGTTTCTATTGGTGTATCTAATGCTAATAAATAGCATAATGCAGAAAATGCTGCCTTGATTTATTGACAAAATTAAAATATGAAAGTGCACCTTTTACTAAAATTACAGTTCATGGCTGCTAACAAGAAGATGAGGAATAAAAAAGATTTGGACTCCCAAATTTAAAACTAATCTCGTATTTTGAATATTGAAAGCATTTATGGTGCTATCTTTTCCCCCATTTTAGTATGTGCTTGTAATGCCCAGCTGGAACTGGAAGTGGCTTAGACAGCCTGCGAGATGTTGTCCTTCCTGCAGGAGTGGAAAGGGAGACCAGAAATACCAGCACTTCTGTATCTCTGCTGAATTTCCAGTCCATTTGAGCAGACAGACATAGTTGTGATGGGGTTTGGTCAGTGCTTTTGGGGCACTCAAAGTTAGTGATTACCCCCTCCTCTCCAGCTGCCCTATTGCAGAGCTCCTCCAGAAACACTTGGAGGAGGTTCTACCCGTTACTAATGACTGCTGAGCAGCTGCTGCCTTTTGCTTCTTGGTCTGTTCACCACTTGCTGGCTTATGTGATGAAGGTGGCTTGTCCACACCTGGTTTTGGTACAGGAGACCCCACATAGCTGGGAATAGTTCCCCTTTTTATGAGCACATCCTGCAAAAGGACATTGTGGCTCTCATGTAATGTTGGCAGCAAATGTGTTGCTTGCTGTGCTTGGAAGTTCCTTCCATCATTTTGTTTCTCATGTCCACTTTCATTGCAAGATTTTCAGGCTACGGAGTCAACCCCAGCCAGCTTATTCTCAACACCAAGGCTTCTCATTTTGGCTGGTGCTAAGGCATTGCTGTACTTTATATGATTAGTAATAGCTTAATAAGCTTGAGAAACTTGAACCTCCCCTTGTTCACTGTGGTGTTCAGTGTGATTTCAGGAACTGCATCACACGAGTTGTAGGTTTGAAAGAGGCGCTACAGCATCCACCACAGATAATATGATGCTTCTTAGGACTCCTGCCCTGTGTAAACTTCTTCTCATACAAACTGCACAAAATCAGCAGCATGGTGGGTATGGTAATAAAAGGGAGAAGATCATGGGCTGAGGGGTAAGGGGGAGCTGCTGGAAAGCAGCAGCAGATTTTGTGGAGCTGAAAGCTGGGCAGGACCTTTGGGTAAAATAATAGCACCCACTGTGTTTGTATCAAACGCCATGGGGATTTTCTTTAATGAAAGGCCACACAGCTCCCCGTTTTTTTACCCCACACTGGAATCAAAGGCAGGGGAATAAGAAATACATATTTAGGTGCAGCTTTTTTGGTCGGATGTATTATAGTGAACACAGTGTTGCAACTGTGCAACTGTATATTACCTTCCCTTTAATGATACATCTTGTGGTCAGATTTTTGGGGAGCATGATGGCAATTGTGGTGAGCCCCTTCCTAGGAATAGATAATGGCATAACCAGGTCTGCTTGTTTTTAGTCATCATCCCTGTATCTAACCTCTGTGCATGTGTGCATCTAATGACAAAAATGTGTGCTGATAAGCAGCATTTTATGAAAGAGTTATTTGCTTAATATATTATTCTGGCTTAACATCTGCATGTGGATTGGAAACTGTCAGAGCGAAACAGTAATTTTAAAAGGTATGTGACAATATAAAGATGGTGTGAGGTAACCTCCTGAGACAGTCGTGGTGAAATCAGATTGGCAAAAATAAGGGTTGACCTGTTACTCGGAAGAAAGAGGCCAATTTAGAACTGTGGTATGTTACTGTGTTAAATAACTCAATTTACTTTTGTTTTAATCTGAACACTTGAAGATCTTAAAAAATTAGTTAGAAGTCATCTGGTCTCTCTGGTTTGTGCTAGTTTAGGATTTTTTTGTTCCTTTTCTTTTTTTTTTTCTTCTTTTTTCTTTTTTTGTCTTTTTTTTTTTTTTTGTCTTTTTTTTTCTTTTTTGAAAGGCAATGTTGGTTGAATATCTCCAAGAAAATGAAGTACCGGCAAGGGGGCAGAAAATCGTGCCTGTTATTTCATGTAGCCAGAGAAAGAAGCAACACCTTGGAGGTGAATGATAGATATTATTATAAAAGAGTTGTAGCTCAGGGCAGGTGAGCGATGTGTTAATGAGGAGCCACCTCCTGCTTTCTGACAGATGACTGTCATTGTTCAAATGCTGCCATCAGATTGATTAATAACTGGGTCATCCTGCCCTGCAGTTGGAGTAGACTGTCTTCATTCTTTTGCTGATTTCTCTAATATGCTGACCTGGAGGTGACCCAATAGAGGTGGAGCTGAGATTAGCATTTCATTTCTTGTAGAACAACAAGAAAAAATTCACAAGGAAGTGGTGGGTGCTGGGGGAACACTAACAAAAAATTCTAAGAATGTTCTTATCCCTAGAGCAACCCCCAAACTTATTCATCATTTATGAATAGGCAGTTTTAGTATTTGATACATTTATATTTTTAATAAAGATTTAAATTAGTCAGGTTCTTTTCTGCAGTGTCAGCTAAACCTAAATGAAAAGATGTATAAGGTCTCTTCAGAACATGCAAAAAAATATAAAGACCTATGTACTGAGGGGCAGGGGAGTGAGCTGATATAACATCAAAATTCCTGCTTTGCCTTAATGTCTCTTAATACTCACTAAATTCACTATTAAAAGACCAAATAGTAAACAGCATGCTTTGACAAGTGAGATACAGGCGTATTATCCCAGATGACTGTTATTATGGGGAAAGAATGGCAATTCTTCTTCAAGATTTGTGTAATTTTCTCTCTTTTCTTGATTTAAACTCTTCTGAAAGCAATGGCATGGGGAGTTTACCTTTCTCCTTGTCATATGTTGGCAAGGTGTGATGGCTCTCATCTGCTTTGGGAGCATGGAGCACAAGATAATAGTCAACTTGAGCCAGAGGGATACTTGCAACTAATTAGGATTCAATTTTCAGACTTTTTGGAACATTGCTTTGGCTAAAAGTTACATGAAAATATCCTTCAAATAGCTTGTGAAATTGGCTCATTTCTGGCACTCTTTTAAAATTACCAACCCTTCAATTACATGGACCAGCTCCTCAATTTGAGACTTTTCTATTTAAATGCAACATTTGTAACATTTTTCAAAAATACCTGCTATTCCTTCCATTCTTCCTGGAGAGCCCCCTCCCTCCTCCTTTCTCATTACTTACAAAAGCAACCAAGCCTTTCTATCCTGAGACACAGCAGAGCAGAAGGCTCCTGTGGAATGTGGCTGACCAGGTGAACAGACCTAGAAGTGTTCCCATTTGATCACGTGTGCTCTGCTCATTTGCACATGCCATGTAGAGCACCTTCAGCTCAGTTAAAGCATTAGGCCACTTCTGAATTAGTTCTTGTTTTGTTTCTACAGAGGACAACCTTCCCCTTTTACGTGAGGCTTATGTTTTCAGGTATAAGCGGTGAGGAGCCAAAGCCAATAATTATCAGCTTCAAAAACAACTTCAAATCTCCGCACTGAATCATGATTTGTGCTTGAAACACATTTGGCTTTACAGCATGCAAGATTGCTTTATGCTCACAAAATACATAACTAGAGGCTAGAACAAAACAAAACCCAGTAGAAAAAGAAACAAGAGGTTTGTCAAAAACAAAATGTATCCAGCTGTTCATTTTTAGTACTTAATGTATGTAGCACCATAGTTGAAGCCACTTCTGTACTGTGGAGCCATTTTTGAACAGTTATCTCTGCTTGCAGAATGTTCCTTAAAACGAGAAGGAAAACCTTAATGTAGGTCATACCTCTACAAAGATTGAGGGGTTTTGGGCATGGAAGATTCCAGATAGAAATACTAAATCATTGCCCCTTTACCTAAAGCTGCATGCGTGTAAAGTATTCACCCCATCCTGTGCAATGTATACAACCTGGTTCTTCATTCAGTGCTGTGCGATCACCCCATGTCTGACATGCAGTTTTGGTAATCTGGCATTACTTTTGAAGTAGCTTCAACTTGGAAACATTGGATCTGCTCATTAAAAACTAAATGGATGCAAAATTTGAGGCAGGCATTGCTGTCCTCTTGTGCAAAACAGTGGCTCCCAAACAACTCAGTTTGTGTAAAACAACAACCAGGGCAGTTATTTTGCTATTTTAAGAATAATACTTAGCATAGGGCTTCCATGAAGTCCAGGAATAAGCACATTATTTGGAGGAACATTTGAAGGGATGCCTTGGAGTTCTTTGAGGGGAGGTGAGCTTCTGAGCCTCTTGAAATAATCGCTATGGAGATTCTCCATTTCAGTTTAGCACACTGTTAAATCTATTCAGCTACATCAGGGCTCTGTTTAAGTAACATTAAAAGTTGACTTTAGACCCATAAAAGCCAGGAAACTCAGTGTTAAGGCTGAAAACTGAAAATCCTGGCTGTAGCTCTGCTTTTGGCCCAAGGCCTTTTACCAAAATAATAACAATCTTGCAAAAAAAATCTGCATTAAGGCTGCAGTGGCACACTAGATTTCAGATTCCACTATGGCCTTTTTTCTTTATTGCACCCTTCTCTGCAGTCACTTTTTAAACTCTTTTTTGTTACAGCAAACTTTTCTCAAACACTGCTCCAAATACCTGCGGTAACCAATACCTTTCTGGGTAGGTGGAAGTGTGATATCAAAGTGATTGCTGTGAAATGGCAAATATCATTTCAGCAATGCCCACTTAAAGACCTTTAAAATTCCTATCTTGGGATGTGTGTTGACAAACTGGTGTACCATGGTATCTGAAGTGACAAACTGGTGTGCCATTGTATTTGTAAAAATGCTTTTTTCATGTTATCTAGTTTTGTTCCTTCTACTTAAACCATAATTCAGAGAGGAAAGAGATTATTTAGAAGTTCCAGAAAGAAGCAGAGGAAAAAAAGCAGTTTTCAGGGAGATAGCTGAATTGTGGGTTGCTGGTAAATAGGAGGTGTTTTTGATTTCAGTAGTGGGAGAGGAAAGTCAGCACTGGGTGAAGAGCAGAAGTGGCAAGATGTAGGCTGTGGAGGATTCAGAATGATCTTGGGTCCTGTTTACAGCCAGGGCAGAATCCCTATTGACTTCATGTGGGTGAAAATTTCAGCTTTAGATTGAGAAGTTCCCAAAGAAGATGGTCAATGTGGATTTTATGTACAGGCAGTCTTGCAGCCCCTCTCAGCTTGTTTCAGCTTCTCTTACTGAAAAGATTTTTATCCAAAGAAATGTGGGGAAAAAACTTAACAGCTGATTTTATTCTCAGGTCTTCCAAGATGGTTTGTTTAACCTGACACTTTCTATATAGGCATTGCAACCACAAGCTGAAATGGTGTAAAGGGGGACAGTGTGTGGAACCTGACCTCAACATTGGAGTCTCTTAGCTAGTAGTAACTAGCTAAGTATTTGTTTCTGTTTTCATGAGGAAATTGATTTGGCATATTTAACGTTGTTTCTTTATTTTATAGGTAATGGACTATTCCCATAGCTCTGTTAAAAAATAGTGTGTGTATATATATGTGTATATAAATATATATAACTGTATATATATATCTTGCAGATTTACTGCTCTGCTGTTTCACTAGGGATACACTTAATGTGACATAAGTCTCTGGATATGACAATTAAATTCACATGACCCACAGACTACCTCACAACCCAAAATTGCCCTTTGCATATTATGAGAGAATAGTAATTACCCTCTAATCACTTATTAAATCTGCTTTTCCAATGAAACTTTGTCTTTCCATGGCCTAAAAGATGGTGTTTGTAACAAAACCCAGTAATGTCACAGTGCCCATTATCTGTACTTCTGCTAAATATGCTCAAAAGAACAGTGTACTGTTTTTTCTTCATCACAAACTTATTGAAACAAGAGAACCTTTAGTTGAGAAGAATCTTATATGCATATAAATGCTGAAGTAACTTCACAAATGGATCATTTGGTGTGGAGAATAACACTGCATTGGAATAGCATTGAATTAGGATGTTTGCTGTGTGTATGGATATCTCATCCCAGATAAATGTGAGTCTCTGTCCCAGTGTTGATGAAAGTGATCATTTTGTTTTTTTAAACTATTGATAGGGTGTGGATGAGCAAAAGCAATAGGGACGCTCTAAGCTCTGAATTTGCCATTACATTGTGGTTTTGGAGAGTTCAAGTTCTTGAGAAATTCAAAGTCCTGCTTGGTCACTGTATTGTTACAAATTTTTAATATTATTGCTATAAGCTGGAAGTGCAAGAGCATGGTCTTTTCTGCATTATGCTTTAAATGCCCAGAGCCTCTAAAATGAGAGATTGAGGCTTGGCTGAGTCAACTCAACATTTCATTTTGCTGAAGCAGATAAATACACTTTCATTAAATTTACTATGGGAAAATCTTTCAAAGCTAGGTCCCATGGCACTTTCGGTGGTAGCAGATTTCTGCACGAGAGTTTTTGGCCAAGGTCACTATGTACTAGCTGTCCCCTTGACTGCCATTCTTCATCCCAGAGGTGACTGAATTTCAGTGATGGGTGAAGTAATTTTTCTGCTTTAACTTAGGATATCTTTGGACACAAAGTCTAAAATAAATGTAAGATATAATTAAACACACACTGCAGAATTCTTTATATAGGGGAAGGGATAGATAACCTGTCTGTATCAATCTAACTTATAAAGGAAGTATGTTAAACCATGCTTTCTTTCTTCCTTTGTGTTTTTTTCAAACTTTCTTTCTTTGTGTTTTTTTCAAACATTTTTTCTAAGGGACAAGTAAACTATCCCTGCCTTAGCAGATCTTAAAACTAGTAGGGAGATCTCCAGATCTGCCATACAAATAAAACTGTTTTATTATCCTTCCTATTTCAGGGCCAACTATGATAGACTCCAGTTTGCCCAAACATGTAATTCATGACTAAATGAAGGTCATCACCTGTGTTCAAAAGTCCAGACTGACACCTTCTAACAAGGTCAGGAAGGTAGAGCACTAAATCCCTCACCAAACTCTTAAGTTTGTTTTCATCTTCCACCAGGCAGTTAGATCAGCACTGCAGCCTTTACAAACAGCAGTGGGAAAGAAGATTCAGTGTTAAAAGTAAAAGCAAAAATGAAAGTTGCCATTGGGTGAAACTACTGTGTTCTGCAGGCTTGTTTGTGACTGAACCAAGGGTGTGAAATCTGAATATGGTTTTTGACCCTTCTCATAACTGCAGGGGAGAAATTGTCTAGTAAATAAACATAAAACCCAGGAGAGCTCCTTTTCCTATTAAAAACTACCTGTGTTACACTGGATAAATTCTCTATGGAAGCATGCACCAAGTCCCTGCTTGGAGAAAAGGAATGAAAAAGCACTTCCCTTGTCTAGAGAGCTGAGGAAAACTACACTAAATACACTGCACCTTTAGACTCTGATGAGGAGGGACAAATGAAAGCCTATATTTAGAATGCTAATGTGACTAAGATTAACCTCGACTGAGGTTTTAAATTGGGATCAGCTACAGCTGCAACACCTGGATCACAGTTTCACTGGAGTTCAGGGCTTAGGGGAATCAGACTGCTTTGGCTTGGGCCCCCTACTGCAGTATGGAAGGTTTTTCACTAAGCTGACCCGGAGTCTTTCAGGCTGGACCCTCTGTCACTCTGATTTCATGCTCTGGCAGATGTTGTGGTGATGCAAAGCTGGACAACACAAGCACATCTCAAAAGAAGAAAGCTCCCTAACCAAGACGTGCTTATGCCTACATGCTCACATTCATGGTAAATTGGGAACTCACAGCAGTCACTGTCTCAAAGCAGAGCTAAGACCATATATTTTACATTTATACCATCACTATTAACAGCAAATATGAATGAGGAAAGATAGGGACACTAAGAATACAACCCCTCTATCAATTCACTCAGGAAACTTAGTTTTCCTTTTCTTGAGTCTGAATGCAATTAGACACATTATTTTGAAAACTTTTGAATTTAACCCCAAACTCACCCTCTCTATATCCTATTGTTGGTTCATGGTAACAATTCAGATGCAACCAGTGATCCCTTGGGAGGGGCCTGTTCAGCACAAAGTCCATTTTCACACATCAGTCTGCAGGTCAGGTTTAGACTGCAAGTCCCCAAATCATCGTTGTCACACAACTTCCCAGCACCTCTGTTAAGTGTTTTAACCTGTGTCTACCCACACTCAGCAAATGTTTGTGGGGACCCATTCAACATGGGAATGAACCATGCCCATGCTGAGCTTTTACTGCTGGTGGGAGTGCTCTATATCTCTCTTCCCAGGAAGAAGGAAAGACACTTAGTGAAGAACTGCAAGAAGAAGCTGTAGGCTATTTTTGTGCCTGAAATTTGTCCTGCCTTACTAACTTTCCATGTTTAATGTCCACTAATAGAATCCTGTTAGTACCCCCTCCTGTTTCCCACTTCCATGCTGCAGAACAGACACTATTGTGCTGCCAACTTTACTTCTTGAGATAGTAAATGGAGTGGAGGTAGGCAAGGAGCATGAGATTATATTCTCCATGGCAGAGCTCTGCCTGCCCACCCTTGCCCTCTGACAAACTGATAGGGCATTGCCAACCTGCTCAACAGACTGGGTTTGAGCTGGAGCATGAAGACACAGCCCAGCCTGAACCCCCAGAACAAAGCCTTGGTTTTGGCAGTCTGGAGGATGAGGCTGGCACCACATGAATGAGTGGAGCAGAGGCACTCATGTGAAGCCATGCATGCTGTCATCAGGCTGGGATTATCCAGGGGAAAGGTGTAGTAAGGGCCCGTGCCTCAAACAGCTTGCAATTCAGACCCACTCTTTCAATGTCCATAAAATCCTCCCCAGCCTTTTAAAAGTGCTCACATGGATCTCTTCTCCAGGGCATGGGAGTTCCTCAGTGCAAGACCCCTCTAATATCAGGAAATACTCTATTTATCCTGCTCAGTGGTGGGGAAGCCAAGACAGGAAGACACCAGGGCCAGGAGTCATGCTGGAGGGCTGTGAGGGAGCAGCAGTGCTCCTGCTCACCCGGCCATCTCCACCTAGCTCTGGCTGCACCCCAGCAGCTCCCAGAGGCTGATCTCAGCCTGGCTCCTGTCCCACTCCGTGTCCCAGTGCACCCTGTCCATGGCCACTGTGTCTGAGCCCATGGCAGCACCTGGCAGCAGCCATTGGTTACGGGATCTGGATCTTGTGCTCTACCCAAACCCGGCACACATTCATTTGCAAGAATCAAGCAGGAATATTTCAGCATTGGCACCAGCTCTGGGTAGGCTTTCAGACAAGAGATTTTTCCCACCTGCATGTTATAAAACCATCCTAAATGGAGACTGTAATCTCCCAACATTAAACAAATGAGGAAGCTGCATTCTGAAACTCATAAGTCGCCACCAGCCTTTACCAAATAATAACAATTGCATTGCTGATGGCCCTGTCTCTCGCTGTTAGCATGCTGAATGACAGGGAGTAGTGTGTGCTAGTAAGAGTATCTCATTTGTTCCAAGTACTGCAAGCATTCCTGCAAATCCACAGAGGCTCTTCATAATCTTTTGCAGGTGGTCAGATTTTAAATATTACAAAAAAGTGAACTAACGTATTAAAACAGGAAGATAAGCATTTCCTTTGTTTGTTTTCTGTTCATTTGCTAAAGCAATGCATCTTATTTGTGTCACCTATTAGCTAGTTTCATAATATCCTGATGGACTGATGAATTTTTTTTTTTAATTCTCATTTGCAGATCCAAAAAATCCAAGCTCTCACAGAGAATAGACTGGAAAAGCAAGATAACTACTTCCCCAACAAAGCCTGATATCTTCTAGAAACAATGACAGTAAGATTTAATCTGAATAAGTAGCAAGATTTTAAAATGTGGGATAGAGGTTATACAGATAAATACTATTTTTCCCAGCAGGTATGCACAAAGGGATGGGCTGCCTATTGGTAATTACTAGAAAATTGCAATCCAATTGATATGGCTTATGGGCTTCTACCTGATTCACATACAAAAGAATCACACAGGCATTACATGTCCAGGGGGCCATGCTGAAATCTTGTTTAAAGTGCTGTGACTTGGGTACAAAGGAATCTCTTAATCTCTACCTTATCTCTTCATCAAACTGCTTAAAAAATCTACTTAGGACAGATGATCCAATACAAGGCCAACATGGATGGAAAATATATATTACAGTGGTCAATTTTTCTCTTTGAAAATGCTTAAAACATAATCCTTAAAAAATATCCACCTCACCTTCATGGAATAGACCCACTAGAAAGAATTATCGGGATTTCTGGTTAGTTTGCATTTATTTTCATTCAGCTGTTAGCCACGATGCCAAATATCCTTTCTGTTTATCTGTGAGCATGGTTTTCTCCATGACCAGGGGGAAGGAGTGATTGGGTGTGGATTTTGCATGTGATAGTCACAGGTATATGTCTTTTCCATTCCCCCTTGCTGTACTCTTTAACTTAATCAGACATATCTGATACATTCATTTCTCTAGTCTTTCATCTGACATATGATGCACCCAAAAAAACTCATTAGCTAAAGTTTATTCCAGAAGTTGGTAAGGAATACAGTTTCTGGAATAGCCAAGCTACAAAGGGCAAACTGAAAGAAAATGGTGCATTAATAATACCAACAACAACAACAATGACCACCACCACCAGGATTAGTTCTCTGTTGATAGAGAAAATGGAAAATATCTTCCCCTTTAACTAATGATTTTGTAGACACCATTGCCATATTTTTCTTGCAATTTAACTATGAAAGGAAGGTAGAGATCTTTATTGCTTCCTGTACTTATTTTTCCAGAGATTTGAGTGACATTCCAGAGCCCTGAGAATGGTTAGAATGCTGAGGCCAATGCAGTATATTGAATTTTTAGTTTTAAGAGAGGCTGGCGATGTATGTGTGAAGAGCCCTTTTCTGAAACCCTCTGGGCACTTGGGGCCTGTTAAGACCTTTCTTGTTTCTTTCTATTCTCATGTATCATCATTTGGGGTTATGCAGGATGCTCTGGGAAGGCAAACCTCGGGCTGAAGGTCAGGCCCTCCCTGGTGAAGCAAAATTGTTGTTGCTGCTGAGGTGTTTGCAGGAAATCAATATGGCTGCTAAAGTGCCTTTGCTTAGGAAGGCTGCCTAAGTAGCCTTTCCCTCATCTCTAATGGCAAGTAACCTTCAGTTTATTAATCTACAGAGCCATCAATATGTCTCTCTATGTCCCTGTGATTGATCTATATACCTGGTAGTGTATGCTATTAAAATCCATGTTTTCCAGCTTTCCTGGTCACCTGGAATGAGTAAAGCCAATTTAGAAATCCTTACTGGAGCTGGAAAACAAAAGCAGGGGGGTATGCTTCCTTTTTATCTACCATTACTAATTTGTCTTTAGGACTGGATTACTCAGATTAGGCCTTCTCCTCCTCCTACCTCTCCACCTAAATGCCAGTTCTATTGTGCTTTTGTTGGCAAATATGGATAATAAAGCTTCACCTTAAAAGCTGGACCTTTGAGGAAGTGGTTTATTTCTTGGTTGTCCCCTAGGCAAGCCATTTAATCGTTCTGTGTCTTTCTTCTCACTATCAAATGGAGATACTACTTTACTCCTGGCTTTATTCTACCCTGCCTGCCAGGGAGCCATTTGGAGTATGACTTACTTTTCACTGTCTCTGGCAAAAGAAGAGTTGATTTTCAGGTAGAGCTGTGAGGGAAAATTAGTCTTAAAAAGTCTTAAATGGAAAGAATGAAAAACAATCATTCCAGCTTTGTTCCTCGGTCTGCGATGGGCACAAACTATGTTTGCAAAGCAGGAATTGAAACCCCCCTGTTTGGAAAAACAGCTACCCACGTTATGATCTGAAACACAGGTTGGAAAAGTCATCAAGCGCACTAGTGCCTCTGGAGCAGGCAGATGCATATGGGGGCACAAGCGGGGGAGGGAAGAGTGAGAAAGATTATTTAGGATGTTGAACATATTAAATGTGTACCTTTTAATACGTGCTGTAGTATTTCAACAGATGTGAAGAAAATTTTGAGGTCAGGAAGGAAAAGCCACCTCCTGCTCTAACTAGTGTTTTAGAATTGATTAGGCAGCACACATTGTCTGGAGGGATAAGGTGAAGGATAGTGCAGCTCAGCCAATCCTCTGGCTTTCTAACACAGTCCCTCACCTACAAGGAGAATTCCACATTCTGTGGAATAAAGGAGATAATGCTGTTTCAGCCATTTTGTTTTGTCTCTAATCTGGTCTCTTATGAGTGCTATTGAGGGAAGTTTTAAAAAATGGGCCTTTAAAATGTTCCTTTTCATGATATCTCATAATTAAACTTCAGCAAATGAGTTGAGCAATAACAGGGGAGTTCTGGTCTCTTTTATGAGGCAATACTCTAGTTCCTAAGTGGGTGAACTAGGAGACCTTTCTCTCTTGCATGGGAATTGAGTAATTGCTGGGAATTGTGCTCCTCTTGTTAGTGTACTAGAAACTCTTTAAAATAAAATAGCTGAACCCTCTCTAAATAATGAATTTCATGGAAATGCTGGTTCCTAAAATTCCTAAAACGGGACCTTCAGGCAACCAAAATCTGTGTCCAGATCCAGCTTCTGCAGCTGGTCAGCCTGGCTGTGGCTGCCCAAACCTCTGGATCCAAATCCTCAGGAGGTTAGAAAGGTTAGAGATTTTTTGCTACTCAGGCTTACTTCTAATTAGAAATGAAATACCATAAATAGTTTTTAGGGAAGGAAATGAAAGCCTAAAAGCAAAATGAAATTAAAGGTCAATCTTCAACTTAGCAGGCTGATGCGGAACGTGGATTTAATAACAAGAAAATCCATTCTGAGAAGGAAAGAAAAAAAGTCAAAATTACTAGACAGGTAAAAGACAGAATGGTTTAATATGTAACCTCATCCTCTGAAATATAAGGCAGGTGGAAAGCGTGAGCAAGTTCAATAACAAAAAATATAAATAGACCTAATAGTTGAGAGGCACTGGAAGAGAAACTGGCTACACTTGGAGGCATCTAGAGTGAGGTAAAACAGAAATGGAAAATTAAATATAATATAGAATCAAATTTTGACAATATAGTGGTTTTTAAAGGAACAAAGAAACAAACCTGCTCTCCAGAATTTAATTTGAATCCTTCTTGCTTCCTTATAGCATTTAAGCAAACCCAGTACAATTTCCCATGCACAGTTCAAACTCATCAGAAGAAGTTTTATTAGGTATTTAAAATATTTCTAGATTCTTTCAAAATTTTGATAATATTATTTTCCATACCCATACAGTTTTTATTCCAGAGGGCTTTTAGGTACAAAACCTCTAAGCAGGCTTTAAGTAAGTGTGAAACCAAAGGAACATAGTTATTTACCTTTATTTTCCTTTAAGGAAAACCCAATCTCCGTTTCACAACTGGTGAAGCAGCATTAATAAATATTGAATTCTCTGCATTGGAGACAAGCTGTCATTGCTGCCCTGTATTTTGAGGGATAGGAATTTCCCAGCTCTCATGCTAAGCCACACGCTGCAGCCTCATGAACATTTTTTGCTGTGGCCTGTTAAACTTCCCTCCCTGTTCCTAGGCAGGGCAGAGAGCCAGAGAGAAGTGATGAGTGCTTTTCATGGTAAGGAACAATACATGAAGACTTTCCAAATTAATTTAACATTCACAAGGAATGCTGTTGGCTGCATCAATTTCAGATATGCTGGCAAGCAGGAAATTATTTTCCATGTAGATGATGTTTCTATCCCTTCCCCCCCCTCAGGACCCCTATGGTGAGAAGGAGGAAGAGAGGTTTTGTCTTTTAATGAAATCTAATTGTGGAGCACGGTTGGGGAGGGGAAGGGTCAGGGGAAGGCCAGCCACATGAGCCTCTGCAGCAAGACATCTCCTGGAATGAGCTGATCCTAGTGGCTCCATTGGGCACCCTTGGTCCCTGCTCTCCCCTCGGAGACAGGATGACCTTGTGGAAGGAGGTGGGAGCTGAGCTGGTGGAAAAACGTTGCTCCCTGCTGCAGTCTCTGGAGAGGGGCCTTGGATCTCATCCTCTGTTGAGGCTGAACTCCCTAAAAGCTTACTGGTACAGATGGTTTAATTTCCTTTGTCCCCCCAAAGGGTCCCTCAGGTTTGTTAACTAAACATACACAGAATAGAATGGTTTGGGCTGCAAGAACCTTAAAGACCATCCTGTTCCAATACCCCTGCCATAGACAGGGATACCTGCCACTGAACCATGTTCCTCAGAGCCCCATCCAACTTAGCCTTGAACACTGGAAGGGGTGGGGCATCCACAACTTCTCTGGGCAACCTGTTCCAGTGACTCACCACACTCACAGTAAAGTATCTAATCTAAATCTAAGCTTTTTTTCCAGTTTAAAGCCCTTCCTGCTTGTCCTATCATTGTATCCTACAGTACTGCTAAGATTTGACAGAGTTTTTAAGATTTCTGAGCAAAGTGAACTTCTGCATGCACTGGAAAGCCACCATGGACATGGCTGACATCTGTACAAGTTTGGATCTCTTCTGGGGGCCAGGGTCTTGTGTGTGGGATGCAATGGCTTAAGCTAAAAGCAAAATGGAAAGCAAGGTTTGCAAGGTGAAACTAGCAGATGATTAAAGAAGAAGAGACATGTGCAGAAAGTCCAAAGTGTGGAAATTGTGAAGATCAAGTATGAAGTGTCCCAAGATTTCTAGGTGCTGTTTTATGATGTATTTTATCTCCAAACTGTGTGGAAGAAATCCCATATGAGAGCATTAGGGCTGACATAAAAAACTCTGTAAACTCAATTAAGAGCATTTAAGAAATTTTGAGGAAATCTGATATGGAAGTAATTAGGAA